ATACAATAACCTGTGACCGTGCATTAACTGTGTTATTGAGTTTCTTGTTTAACCGAGTTCTCTTTTTTCTGTGGTGTTAGGCGGCAAACAAAAAACTTACTAAATGAAAAGCATTCGGCGCCGTCTATAAACATTAGCAACAACAAAGGAATTACAAGTACGTTGTAGCCTTTTAACGGATATTTAGAAATTTAAATTTGTTGAAATTGGGGATCGGGAAAGGTGATGGTGGACTTTTGATCCGTCGGTTACCTCACACAAAAGAGGAAATACCACAACGCAAGCATTGTCTTGCACCACTTTTTTAAGGCACTGGTTGAGACTGTCCATTCGGGCCGAAAAACGGCTTTGTCACATTTAAATAAAACAAAATAATATCATTTCAAATTCAAGAGAAAAAGAATAGCACGTCTTACGCCCAATCAAATGCTGATAGAGTAATCCAATGCACGTTCGTTTCTTGAATATTTTATCTTTTATCGCAGTTTTCTATCACTTATGCGGCCTGCAAAACCGTTGGGTGAGAGCAGCCATTAACTCTGTTATGGGATGGGTAAACGAATTTTTTTTCTTGTTCCTGTACTAGCCACTAAGCGGGTGCTGGTGGTCGTTTTTTCAAAACAGTTAATAGCCTTCTGGATAGTAAAGGTTTTTTTAAAGCTATCATGCTAAATTTTTATGCCGTTAAATGTTACGTGTTTGCAAATATTTTTAGCTTTTTCAATTGCTTCTGATGTAATGACGTTTGAATAATAACAAAATATAAAGGACATGGCCAAAAAAGTACATTCTACGTACACGAACAAAATTAATACACTGTAAAATACAAATATAAATATGAATTATTACGTAGTTTTTAGCCTCTCCAGACCTGACAATTATTATTAAAACAATGTAAAAGTAATGCAACAAAATCAAGTTCGTTTGTCAAGTTTCGCCATAATAGTCCATAGAGAGAGATAAATAAAAAGACGTTCCAATTCCAAACCACGTGTCTTAAACTACACTCGTAGAAAACGTGTGATATGATCGACAAATGCATTACACTAGGAACATTTTATTCATACGAAACTGTATTCATTGGTTTTAGTTGCATTTTAAAATATACTCATATTATAATAATGTTATGTTTTATTATTATCCAATTCACCAAAAAAAAAAACTTAAACGAAACGGAACGTGTTTGGCACTTTTGACAGCGTGTTTTTGTTAACCTTGCTAATAATACTGGGGTAACTGTTTTGCGTTTTGGATTTGTTTTGTGGATTACGATGAGGTGCATCAACTGCGGAATAGGCGTACAAAGGCTGCAGAGGCGCCTTATATCCTCGCTTTCTGCACACCATCAAACAAAACTTTCACGTTGGTTAACCAGCTCAAACCCAGGTATGAAGTCGGAATATATAATACTTAGTCTGTTTTTTTTATGTTTTATCATGGTATGCGATTTTAAATAGTGCATCTTTTTTTTAGTTGCCTCTGGGGACATTCATTTGTCAACCACGCTTCTTATTATTGAATACTGAGGCTGGTGAACATGAGAACTACTGGGGCATAACATGGCTTGCCTTGGTTGTGGAAAATCGGTTCGAAAAATAAGACACCATAATGTCAGTATGGACTCTCTATTGCTAGCTGACCTAATATCGCAAAATACTATTAATGTGGTAAGCATTTTGTTTTTTATTCATTGTTTTATATATGTACTTGTATTTATCTATATTAATCTATAAAAAAAAGTACTCATAGTAGGTATGTGTGATTAAAATATCTATCTTTATGTATTTTCCATATTTGCACTTCTTTAAAATAGGTAACATAATACTTCTCACTGTACAATAACATAAAACTTGAAAACATGTGTTTATTCTAACTGGGGTTTATTTTCAGACCTCAAGAAGCAACTATATTTGTTATGTGTGCTGTATGCGGGCAAATAGACAGACAGTGCAGGACTTATCACGAAACTTGCAGGAATTGGGTTCGGACAACAATGCAGTAGCCCCTTATATTCAATTGGTTAGCCCACCAGAGCCACCACCATTACCACCTGTTTTAAGCAGGCCGCTTCAAATGGAAAGTACTACCATATTATTACCCAATTATACAGAACATATATTAAAGAAACGTACATTCCATACACAAACATAATAAAATACACTTTATAATAAATAATAAAAGTGAATTAGGTATTACGTAGTTTTATTTTATTTATTCTCCTTAATAAATAAATCATTATTCTTTATACATATTATTTTGTTTTATTTTATAAATAAATAAATAAATAATTAAAACGCCATGGTTTTTAAAAGCAAAATCTTATTTCGTGCACTTATGGCCAGTAATCTGACTAAAGGTTTAGTGAAACTATTTTCGTCTTGTTTGTTATAATTACGAGTTCTTCATGTGTTTTATTTTTTGCAATTTAATTTAATAATATTCACGAATGTAAACACCAAAAATCATTGATGTACATTGAATTCAATAACTATGCAAACGCCCATACAAAAGTTGGCCATGTCCTTTATGATTTGAATGAGTACCTTATCAAAGTTGCAATGTTTAGGCAACATCGATTCAATAATTAAAATGGTATTTTCCATTTATTTATATAGTTCTTTTGTCAAAAACTATGGTACTTACTATACATAATACGATAGGCATTTTACTTTTAATCTCTATAAGACTCACTAAGTGTCCTAATTTTTTTAGGCAGGTCCAAGCACAAATAATTCAAAGGTCAACGAAATTATTATTATTAGCAAACTCAAACTTAATTTGCCCCAGAAATGTAAGAAGCACGATTTTTCTGTATTCGGTTTTCTTGTACAACCTCAACGAGATAGTTTCTCGGAGCAAGTTGTAACGTTGACGAGGTTATCAACGAACAAACTGGTAACTGTTGCCTGCATGTTTCGTGAACGTTCGTTGAGAGATTGTTAAAAGTTTTCCTTCACTGTAGTGTATGGTGGTTGTGACGTACAGTTGTTGAAGATTTGTAAGGAAATTGTTGTTTTTTTCTTCTTGTAACTCATAATTAATAATGAGTTGGTAAACATTCTTAAGTTCTAAATGTTATATTACTTTTTTAAAGGTCCCAATGAAAAGAAAAACTGTTTGTGGCTTTGTAATTATGAAACAGCCAATGACGAAATAGTTTTACCAATACTAATTTATCAATAGTTTTTGGTGTTTATTACAACACTGGAAATTAAATCTTAGTGGATGTTTTTTTAGAACATAAATATTTGAAACCATAAGTCGGGACGCCACAGATTGCAGAAAAAAAGTCTATAATACACAAAAATACGGTCTAGAATTAAGGCGAACAATTATGCTTTGGAAAAGTTTTATGTTATATTTTTATTTTGAGTATCGACAAGTACTATTGCGGCATTAACTTGTTTAGATCACCCAGTGAAATTATAAAAGATTATTATTTTAATTACGGCATATACAGCGCTTTTTTACATTATATCTATACTATCTATATTACTATACTAATATTATAAATGCGAAAGTAACTCTGTTTGTCTGTCTGTCATTTCTTCACGTTTAAACTACTGAACCAATTTCTGTGAAATTTGGTACAGACATAGTTTGGAACTCCAAAAAGGACAGTTGATTTTTGGTATGGAGTTTTTATACCAAAAATCTGCAGGAAGTCACTATTACACGTGAACGGAGTCGAGGGTAAAAGATAGTGTATGTATAAATTTCCTATCTGACGACACTACACTCTACCCTTTTTTACTATGCTATTCTATATTTCTTTTATTTAATGGTTGTTCATTTGATACGCCAATATGTCACACCCCTGAAGCACTGTGATAAAATCTCTGCGGAACGGTCAGCCGGAAATACGTAAATCCTGCCACTGTTCTTTCAGTCGAGCCGAGAGAAGTTAAAACTGTCTTCGTTCTGCGAGTTCTGTTAATGACGGTGTTTCCTGCTTGACAGATTTAACGGTTGAATTTATAATAACAATCTGTTGTCTTTATTTTGTTGCGTTGTAAAATATTATGAGTTTCAGAATTAATTACGAATGCATCAATTTAGTTTAATAATTGGTGAGAATGGGTTTAGAATGTTGAGAAAATCATGATCATCAACGTGTGATAAAGGTGATTTCTCTAAGACTTGTGTTTAAAGGTTACTCTTCACATGATTAATACTGACAACACAGTTGACGCAGTGGTTGTACAATCGGCTGCCTTGCAACGTCTTAATTTGAACTAAGAAGTATTCGTGTGAGCGAGAGAGAGAGAGAGAGAGTGAGTAAGAGAGAACGAGAGCATCCAAGAGTGGGGCAGCGTTTTAATAACTTTCTAGTGGAACTACAGATATTTGTAATTATATGTCTCTATGTGGATAACGTTGTGCACTATAACATTAGTATGTTTTGATGCCCTTTATATTATAATATAGTCAAAGTCAAATCATTTATTTAAAATACACCACATTAGGCACTTTTGAACGTCAAACAGAAAATAAATATCAAAAGTTAAATGTGTGTCTGTCGGTCTGTCCTATACTGAAACAATTTGCACGTTCCAAAGTGTAGATTCCAATGAAGAAAAACGAGCAAGAAACTTTTTTCAATCAATTTCACAATTCATTTTTGTTACATCATCTACTCTATACATATATTTTCTATTATTAATAACAACTTTTCAAAGCTACTCAGCAAAGGTAAACTTAAACTGTCCACATTTTACTCTAAGGTAAAATAAAGCTGAAAAGTTTAGTGTGCATTAAATAGACGCTTTAAACTCTTTATAACGTGTAACTGGAGACCCCAATAGCATTTTATGGTTGAAAATAGACCCTGTGTGGTCCCACAAGTGTCATAGCATCTTATACGGTGATGTTTCAAGTGCACTCAGAGACTTTAGTGTAATGTTAGGCAAGTTTTAATTAAATAAAACTTTTATAGGAACTCAGAATAGAAACAAGGTACTTATCAGAAATATACTTTATTGATTACTAACAAAATAACAGGTAACTTCAGTTTACATTAGCAGTTTATACAATTTTAAAAGAAGAAGGCTAGGCATTGTAACAGTTGGCTCAGAACGAGTTAATTAGTGACAAAATTCTAAATTAAATTGAATAATACGGAGAGCCTATGGTATCGAAATTATTGACCATTAATAATCAGCGAGAATATACGCGGAAGCTTTCTCACCAATCATCGTAACTGCAGCGTTTATGTTACCACTAACTTCAGTAGGCATAACACTAGCATCAGCAACTCGCAGGCCACTCACGCCCTTAACTTTAAGTGTGCTGTCCACAACTGATCCCATAGCACAAGTACCTGCATAATGCCACATAGTAGAAGACATTCCCAAAGCGTAACATTTCCAGAACTCAGTACCTGTTTTACCAGTGCATAGTCCAGTATCGACGAGCGCTGCATCAACGCTTTTAAAGTATGTTGTATTTAATACTCCTGCAAAATCTTCCAAGCATTCAACCATCAAGTCCAAATCACTACTGTCACTGTACATACCAGTGTATACTAATGGATCTACTGAGATATCAGTACTTGCAAGGCTCACATTACCACGTGAGTTTGGCATCATCAAATTATGTACTACGAATAGTACAGATCTACCGACATTACCTTCGTAGAATTTGTTACATATATCGTTGGAGTATTTAAAAACGTTAGTGCAAAGTTGCATCATAGCGCCTGAGTCGTGAGGGAAAACAAGGTTGATAGTCTGGTAATCTGGGTAAGTCTGAGATGAATCTACAGCCGCATAGAACGTGGTAGTTGGTACGGGGAATACGTATGGGTTGGCTGCTGGAGTAGCTTCAGTGCTAGCTTCCATCTGAATTAAGAGTACAGCTGATGGATGGTCCATTAGGTTTTGACCAACAGGTAAATCAGCTACAACTGGAATGTCAAGTGATTCTAGATGTGATTTAGGTCCAATACCAGATAACATCAACAACTGAGGAGAGTGTATCGCACCAGCAGATACAATCACTTCATTGTTTGCATACAATACGAGAGATTCACCACTAGACGTATTGACTTGAACACCAGTAGCAGTGGTACCATCGAACAAAATTTTGTGTACTTTAGTAGATAGTGCAACACATAGATTGTCAAAAGATTTAGCTCGTGCCAAGTAAGAAAGCGCGTTACTTTGACGTAAATTGTCAGCAATAGTGTACAAAGGGTCGGTAGCACCAATTGATGACGTACGAGATGTTGTATCATCAACAGTTGGGACTCCAAGTTCTGCAAATGCTTCTAAGTATTTAGCAGTTGTAGATGAAGGTTCTCTTGCAATTTTAATCATACCATCAGTACCATGGAGGTCAGCGAAGGATGATGCAAGCAAATCGACGTCAGTCAAATTTTCTAATTTCTGGAAGAATGGTAGAACATTTTCGTAGTTCCAGGAATCATCTCCTAGAATGGAAGCCCACTGGTTGTAATCATGAGGATCTCCTTGTACGTGTATCATATGGTTGAGGTTACTGCTACCACCAAGCATTTTCCCCTGGGTTAGACTAATAATTTGGTCTTGCAGATTCTGGGTAGTATACCCATCATTTACAGATGATGTATCATAGTCAACCGAAGTTTTTGGTATCGGCGTGAACAGTAACGGTAACTGTAAAAATAGAAATATAAATTAGTAAGTATACCATCTTAATATACATAATTATGTTAGAACCTGAATGGTGAACAAACTTACTTCAGTTTCGAAAGGTGGATACGAGCCTTCTTCGATTAACAGGACTTTGTGTTTGGTGTTAGCTGAGAGACGGTAAGCGAGTACTGATCCAGCGCTGCCACCGCCAACAACAATGAAGTCGTATGAAGAAGCATCTGTGGATGGATAAAATATTACTCTCTATCATCCAAAGGTGTCGAAAAAACAGGTATGCTTGTTGGGAACCCCTTTTATACGAGTAAATTTACTATTAAACCAAAATTCCCAATAATACGATACTTGAGAAAAAAATAATAGACTTGAAGTAAGCGAATATTTAATTGATCAATAAAGCTAGTCACATCATGTCATCAGTCATCATCAGCCTATAATAAGTACCCACTGCTGAGCAAAAGCTTCTCCCACGGAGAAGGTTTGAGCATTAATCACGACTCTTGCTGGCGATTTCAAACTCATAATTAAAAATTATAAGTCCAGGTTTTTTCAGTTTGTATCAGTGGTGTCTAAAATATCATAGAAAAAACATAATTGTAACTCAGGAAAAGTCTCACTGGCCGTGCCATTGTCTTGAACCAGCACCCTCATGTATGAGAAACATGAAGCCTTAACCTCCGAGTCACCACGACTTAATAAAGCTAGTATAGCCATTTTCTAAATAAAATCCCACTATAATTTTCTTCTTATGCAAAGACAATTGAAGGAATTTGTAGTTACGTACTTGTTAAGGAACAATCCGACGGGTAGCGGAAGGCCGTCAACTGTAATGCAGATAGTACAGTCAGCGCTGATTGCACTGCTGATATGGTACCTAAAGTGGTAGCTGCAGCGTCGCTCATGACTGAAACAAAGAAATTTTAACCAATCAGAAACAGCATCGGAATAGAGAATATTAAGTAATGACCACCTGGAAGAAGGCTTTAATATTAGATACATACAGAATCAAATACTTTTGACGATATTATATTATTATTCAGATTTACACGTTATGCGATGTTGTCATGATTAAGTATGTTTTGTACTAAACGGTGACTGAATCTAGTTCTAAAACCTTTGTTCATTTTATATTTATATTGTTCTTAATTAAGTGTACTTGAAGTACTGTAGTAAAGTACTGAAGTCCCATCTCTATTGAGACATACCTTCGTTACCGATATCCAAACACAGGGCTCAATTCAAGTTCACTACTTTTACTAAGAAATTTATAAACGAAAATCAAAACAAATTGCCCTACTCCAGGTTTCAATACGTATAGTACAACTCTCTTGGGGGGTGAACTTAATAAAAAATGCAATAAGAACTTTATGTTTAAATTAGGAAAGTACTTTCTATATTGACTAGGGGATTACGTTAGTAGAAACATTTTAAAAAGTACAAAAGAGTTCTAAACCCTTTTATTAAACCTACTGGGTTAATAGCTGACTCCATATATTTTCCTTTACATTGTTCACTATATATATATGTAAATGAGAATATTCAAATTTGAATTTAGAATTTCTAAGGTTTAAAACCTTGACATTTAAATCCAAAGGCAGATCAAAGAGAGAAGTAGAAATTAAAAAGTATTTTATATTAAAAAGTTTGGTAACTTACTTGTGATGTCCTCTCACAACTCGAACTGAAGATGTCGACTACCACCATGCTGCAGTTTTTATACCAAAATTGTACCAAACAATACATCTTAATAAATATTTGAACAAGTGCTTATTGCAAATTCCTCGTTCCCCAATTATGCTATGCTAATTATAATAGACATTATTAGTAATAAGTTAAATTAATTCACTAATATTTACACAGCAATGGTTCTTGATGTTACATCGATAAAAAATTCAAAATAAGAATTCTATTAGCTTTTGTATCTGTTGTCGATTTTGTTTGAAAAAGTATACGTATTGTGTGGAAGAGCCATGTTTCGGCTCGAATGACCCAACTCGACTGGAGTGACCAACTGCCTTAAAGAAAACCGAAAATCCACAAATGACTTCCCACCCTGGATGGGAAGAGATAGTGTAAGACTCTCACTGACAAAAACCACTTAGTTCCTTCTCCTGTCAGTCGGATGTTTTCTAAATTGTCAAAATAAAGCTATTTACGAATTGTGCTTCAATACAAATTTTTCTTTTCATTACATGTTGTTTACATTCAATATAAATTTTATACGGCATCGCTTATTTTTAGAATTAAATAGATATCATAGTAATATCTCTCAAAATAACTCAAAACAAGTAACGTAATAGTGCTTACAGGGATAATTGCCGGCTGATGTCCAATCACATTTAGATTAAAACTGTTCAACGGGCCTCTGCGAGATGGCTTCGGCTCTTCGTATGCCTTCCAACGGTCCGGGACCCTGTGGTCCCGTGAAAGGAAAGAACTAACAAATACTTATCATTATGTCCACCAGCCCATAGCATCCCATACCTATAACCCTATAATTTTTTGCCACATTTCACAATAGTCCTGCATCAACTGGTTATTGTCATTGGGTGCACCTTCATAGTGGATACAAGGATAATGACCCATTTCACTATATTAAAGTTATTGAAAGGGCCTCTGCGAGTTGGCCTCGACCACTTGACGCCTTCCAATAGTCCATCAATCCCGTGAATGGAATCATACTTATGATTTTAATCAATGATTGAGAGTTAATTTTGAAAAAAAAATTTTTTTGTTAAAATATATCTATCTAAGCCATCATCTTTGTGTTTATAAATTGATTGTAATAGGTATAGTTAACAAAATTAAATAATACTTATATCGGATATTCACGCTTTATTAATTTGTGCGCAATCAAAGGACGGTATCGGATTTTACTCTTAAATATCTAACTCCATATTATCTAGTTTTCAAAAAACACATGTAACTATCATTCAACCATCCCGAGCCTGCGGCGCTTAGCGTTCCGAGCGCACCTCAAGGACCACCATGGATACGGTCAATTATTATTAAGGCCGATGTTCAGCAAGGTTTGCGAATACAAGTGCAATGTTACGAAGGCCCTGAACTGAAGCAGAAGAAGGAACGGGGAAGTTTGCAGTCAGTAAAAGTGTGACACTCCTTGCCCCACCCGGGGAACAACCATTTGATGATGTTCCCATTTGAAAAAAAAAACATTAAACATAAAGTTCTGTTGGTTCAGACCTTGTCAAGGTTACTTTAAAATATATTTGATATTAAATGTTTTCGTTATTGACATAATATATTATAATTAAATAATTAACATTACACAAAAGTATGTATATCAAATATTAAATACATATGTATCTCCAGGCGACATTAAATATCCAATTTATTTACCTTAATTTGCATTATTAATAAGAATATTAATTATAATTGTCTTGTTAATGAATGTAATTAGTTACACACGTTTTCGTATTTAATAAGTTTTACCATTTGTAGAGTTTTAAGTATTTTAAAATTTTTCATCACGCGCTTAAAGATTTTGACGTAATTAGTTTTACTTATTTATGTATAGTATATTACTATTCTCAATTGTTTTGAATTTTGATTAAACATTATCAAATTCATTGCGATTTAATTTAATTCAATATAATGAGATAGAATTTGATTAATATCATAGTGTTGGGAGGATCCACACAAATTGATTCTTCCCAGTCCTTTCCATTATCGTACATTTTATTTACCGAACATATTTAAATCCCTTATTCTTAACTTACTCCATCTTAAGTTTACTTGATATTATACATATATGTATGAGCCCTAACTTCCCTATATATTCACCCCGAGCGAGCTCTAAGTGTAACTTTGAGGTCAACCAAGCGTGGCCCGCAAATGGTCCAGCTAATTTATTTATTTATAGCCCCGAAACGGGGCAAGCTTTTGTCCGGTATATGCTTTAATTACTGTGTTAATGTTTTCCATAATTAAAATAAGATTAACAAAGTTGATGTAAAGATATAATTAAAGTATATAAAAAAGTAGAAGAACGAGTAATAACTTGTGAATTTTTGAAACTATGAAGTTGAAATACCGTCCAGGAATACTTGTGACCGTAGGGATTTGTTTTACAATATCTTAGGAGTTTCTACGTAATAACATAAGTTCGAATGTAATTTAAATGACCAAAGTGTATATAAAAGTCGGGAAACATTTGGTAACTCTAGCCTTTTTAGCAGAAAAACCACGATATCAATTTTAAGTAATTAACCTATAAAAAAACATCCTATTTTTTGTATATTTACCATACATTTAGTTCACTACTATAATAATCAATTTTGAAAATAATATATTTCTGACAAATAGAAATGTTCTTGGACCAAGAATTTGTATTGGAAAACCCTCAATAATATCTTAAAGCAACGTCGCGTCTTAACAAAATTACAATTGCTCTCAAATCCCAAAAGCCTCATAAATTACTTGAATCTTTCCAAAGACATTCCCAGGACAAACGTTTTAGAGTTCTAGAAATTTTAATTCAAAATTCTAAGCGTTTGGCAAGCAACACCATCAATATTTCTACTGACAATTGTTTTTGTGTTTTTGTGCTTTGGCACCGGGACTCGAAGTGGCTCTTGATTTATATGTGGGTTTTCCAATTAGCCTTGGTTAGTAGTTTTATTTATCGGGGCTCTTTCCATTTTCCGCACTTTTGGGTTGGTTGTGATTGAGTTTTAAAGGATACGATACGATTTTTGATAAAAAGGAAAAAGAACACAAGAAAATTCAGGCTGCGAGCATTTTTCGGAAATCAAAAATCCTAAGAATATTTAACGCATGCCAGGTGTATTGATAGAAATTTGAAACCCTTTTCGGAAACATTACAAACAACTTTTTCATAATAAAACATTGGTTTTAATAAAAAAGTTTAGGTATACATTAATTCGATATTTTATCAGATAAATCTGTTTTGGTATTTAAGGAATTTTCAATCCGACATAAGAATCGGTTAGTTTAAACCACCTTATTTTCGTATCTCGGATGTGGTCACACGTTTTAGTCTTATAGTAACGTATGTGAGTTTTGATTCACAACGAAAATGCACCAAACTTTTCTGTTTTTCTAACACGAGGTATCTTGTAAACACGGGTTTAGTTTGAAAAATGTGGGACATCGAGTTTATCTAATGGTTTGACGTAAAATCAAGTCCTTTGTGTAATCTAAAGAGATTTTACGAGTTTCCTAAAACTTCATTTTACGCAAAACAATAAAACATTTGAAGTAACAACTACGACATTATTGTTGTAGGTCAATTAAGACCACGGCCCAACTGGGATAAGGAGAAGGAACGGGGTGACTTTTAGTGGCCTGACCATCTGTATTGCGGAGGCGTATTTTCATACACATTTGGTCTAGAGCTGAGAAATCGATTGCGCTTCAGCTGATCGTCCACCTATTGAACCAATTGTATCAATAAATCATTAGCAATCAAAGGTAAAACTTTTAAATGTAACTGTATAAGTGTGGGAGAACCAAGCTTCGGCACGAACGGGTCGGCTCGAGCGGATTCCGAGTCTGGAGCGAATACCACTACCTCACAGGAAACTGGCATGGAATAACCACAGCATTGTGTTACGCCGTGTGAGTGAGGTTAACGAAGGCCCAATCCCTCCTACCTCCACCCATCCTTTCCCAATCCTTAAATATCCGAAAACTTCATCCCTAAAAGGCCGGCAACGCACTCGTTACTCTTTTGGTGTCGCGGATGGGCGGCGCTGATTGTTTATCATCAGGCAATCAGCTTGTTTGCCGAACCATAATATGATAATACCAATTGTACACGTAAGCCTTTTTTGTTTTGAATAGGAAAATCATCAAATGACTTCTCCCACCCTGAGTGAGGCGAGAGAGTACCAGACTCTAACTGACCAAAAACCGCCACGTTCCTTCTCTTTCTTCAGGCCTGGGCCGGGTCCATTATTGCGATTGAACCGAAACTGAGCATATAAAACAGCCAGAGTACATTTCTAACAGCTTATGCGCGTAATAGCCGGACATGTAACATTTCCATCAAGGTATTGAGATATTTTATGTCTAGCGTGCAACAGAAGTTGACTTTTAATGTTGTGACAAGGACAAATGCTAGTTTATATCGATAAAAGAAAAATGTTCAACTATACAGTTGACGCGATGGCTGGGCAACTGGCTGCCATGCAACGTGTAGAGGGGATCTCGCAAGGAAATCTATTTGTGATCCATGTCTAGGTGTCATAAGGACTGTGAAATTGTATATTTGTACCCACGACACAGGACAATATTCTAGTATGTGGCAATTGTTATCTTCTTTAATATTATATTATTATTATTTTTTGTCAAACATCTATATATGTATATTACGACCTCTCATGGAATAAAAGTCACTAGAAAATAAGTGGCTATAACGATGTTGAAAAAGGCTAACACATGAATGGCAGACACTTTATAGGAAGAACAAAAAAGACTAATAACAACTAGCTACATGTTCTACAGTCCTAATGCTGAAAGGAATAAATAATATAACGTAATCGTACGAAATTTAATTTTACCATCAACACAAGACATACTTGTTTTTTAAAAAGTGACGACCCTGGTACAGTCACCAACCTACACCTATCTCCACATTTATTTTCGTTGAATTTTCGGCTCTATACCAAAACAATACAGTTGCAAATCTAAT